TGATTTTCTCACATACGCTAGAACAATATTATATATCTATAATTAAATTGAGTAATTAGCTTAATTTGAAAAAAGATTTCTAATTGAGATGAAAGAAAATTTCTTGCTAAATTAAGACAGAAAATCCAAGAGATTAAATGTATACAACTAAGAAATTTTTTTTAATCTCAGTCAAATTTCTTTTTTCAGATTGAGCTAATCATTCTATTTGATTGTTCATATCTAATATTGCTCATGTATGTGACAAAGTCATCTACTAATTATTTTTATTTATTTTTTTAATTTTTAAACTTTTAGAACTAAATTATTACCTTTTTAATCTTTGAGACCTAATCTTGTAAATATTTTATTCTCACTTTAACAGAGAGTTAATGGATTCAATTAGTTTAGGGATTAAAATTTTCAAACCTTTAAGTTCAAGAGTTAAAAGTTTCATAGTGTAATTGTTTACACCATAAGTTGCAAAAATTTAAGATTATGCAATTTGTCAAATATTTTAAATGCATGGAGGTGATTTAGTCATGTCAGATACGTAATTTTCGGTCCAATAATAGATCAGGTGACAGATAGGAAAGAAAGAGTAAAAAATATGAGATTTTCTCTTTTGGTTGCCTATTTGGGTCATGTAGGGATTGTTTCAACTAGTTTTTAGGAGTTGGTTTCAGTTAAAAATGTGAGCTAGCTGATCATGGGATAAGTGGCAAAATCTGAATGAAATTTTGACTCAATCAATTGCTTAGATGTCCAACTTCTTTAGGAAATTACCCATGTTCAAGTAACTACATGGAGTGGGGAGTTGTAGGTGAGAAAGAGGAAAACAAAAGGAAAATTTTTTATCATTCAACATACGGGTAACTCTACACACAACTTGAGAAATTTTCAGACTTCTAATTTCTCAGCAATTGCTCATTTTAACTTACATATTTCAGTTTTCAGTACAATTCCCAGTAGATTTAGGTTGCTTTTCATCATCTTAGTAGCCAAATTAGTTCTTATATTTGCTCTAGCAATTTCGTTTCATGTAATGAACATTAAACTTTTGAATTTCTACAAGGTATTATTCTTTTTCTGACTGGTATTAATTTAATATTTATAATAAATAGCGTTTCATCAAATGATTACTTATATAACGTACACACTTCTTCTCAATTTTGAGCATGTTAGTTTAGTCCTTGTTTATATTTGTTTTAGTGTTATTTAAGATTGGATCTCCAATTTTGCAGTAGTTTAATTTCCACATCTGTTTGTAGATAGCAATTTAATCTGACAATGAACATGCTTAATTTAAGTTAGGTACATCTTGTTCTTGCAAGTTTATTTTAGATTGCATTTCGTGTAGTTTGTTTAGGGTCTATTAACTTAAGTTCATAGTAGTGTTTATGTCCTTAAAGTTGTCTAAGACAAATTTAGTAACTTATTCTGCAGAAAGGCATCCCTCACTCTTACAAATTATTTGTAGGTGTAGATTTTAATTCAAAACCAACATTCTTCCTGCCATCTTTAAGAAGGTTGACTATGAGTAAAAAGAGAGTCATTGGAAAAATCCTTTTTTCTTACTTTTAGCAAAGTAAGTGATATACTTGTATCTAGATTCCACACATGTGAAGCCACTTAGAGATTTTTGGAGAAAAATGACTAAAAACATCAAAATTATTAAGATTAAGGGTTCAATGCATATTTTAGCCCTCTTTAATGCAGTTTCTTTCAAAGGTGAAGGGGAATAAGGGATGTGGGACCATGCGCATTTGTTTTTTGGGCCTGCTGGAGCCCGGTTCTTAAAAACTTTTCCTTTTCACGAGAATCATGACCTTATATTATATTAGTTTCGCTTAATTAAAATTTTAACTTTAAAACTTTAAAATTTTAAATATAAATTTTAAGTTAATTGGAAAAGAATTAAAAAATTATTTTTTATAAAATTTATTATTATTAAATGTATTAAAAAATACTTTATATTATATTCC